GTTTTCAAGCCTGAGCTAAATTGCATGCAATTTTTTTAAGGCAAAAGTCACTAAATCTTTTTTTAATACAAGCCTTAGCCATCCTGATTGGCTTGAATTGATGAAAAAATGATTGTGAATTTTTCCGAAATCCTACCATCTTTCGATAGTCTCAAAATGTGAATATTTTTGAGATTATGATAAAAAATAAATCATATTGTATAATATGCTTAAAGTGAAAAATAATAGCGCCGAATCTATTCATCAAGATTGCATGTTGGTTGACTTATTTCATCAAAAATTGCCCAATTCCAGTGCTGGACCAAACGGTCAACTCCTGCAGCGGTCTCGGCCTCAAACTGTCTCCGGCCAGCAGAGCCGGTCTGATGCCCAACTCTGAGTTCGTCGGACTTCGATGCCAACAACACTCTCCGCCGGCTTCGTTGCAACTCTCTCCGGCTCTGGTACACACCGGCCTGACCCAATTGCAAGTGGTTTCGGTCGGCTCGATCACCGCCTCCTCCAGCCCCAGCAACCAGGCCAACCAGACTCGTCACCTCGGCCAACCGGCCTCGATTCCGCTGTTGATGATGATGTCGTCGACCCTGCAACCGAGTCCCGGCGGCGCCGGGCCGGCCGCCAATGTCGGTACCACCGGCGGCGGTAGCGGAGCCAGCTGTACCGGCAGCCTGCCCGGCGGATACGGGTCCGGGTGCGGTAGTTCGAGTCCCCCTCCTCCTCCTCCTCCTCTTCCTCCTCCTCCGCCGCCGCCACCGCCGCCGCTGATTTCATCTTCGTCCGCATCTTCACCGTCGAAGCACCAGATGCCCTTCATTGGACACGGCCGGTCGTCGGGAGGCTGTTCTAAGGGACCTCTGGTCTGTCTGGTCGGGTTCGATTCGGACGCCGCCGGCGTCGGCGAACCCGCAGCCGGCGGCAGACTTGCCTCGAGGCTGGGCTCTGCGACAGGTCGAAACGAAGATGAAGATAGCATCCCCGAGGGTCTGGCGAGCATAGCCGAGGGAGAAGTTATCCGAAATAAAGGCGCCAGAGGTGAGGAAATGGCAATTAAGGCTTGCCGGAAAAAATGACGGTATTCGGTATTTTGGCATAAAAGAGGCTCTATTTAAAGAGGCCAGCATAAAAGGAAACTGAGAGCGCTAAAGAATGATGAATATGTGACAAAAAGTTTCTAGAACAGCCTTTAATCATAATCAATACATCATACTACTTATTATTAGTTTTAGTAGTATTATTAATTAAGCAAAAAAATGAATCATGATAATGGCCAATTATCAAATTAACTGTCTGGCGGAGTTCCTCAAGTTCATAAATAGATATGATGCATCGAGTTAATTTGTTTTTCATACAATAAAAGATTTTACTAAGTACATAAGCCTGAGATCAGTGATAG